TACGAAAAATAAGAGATTTAATTTGACACATATTTAAAATTTAATAGCGAGTTGCATATTAAATTCTGAATGGTTTGCTTAATAAAAAAAAAATCATACAATAAAATACAATTTTAACACCAATTTCGCCTTGTTTACTGATTGCTTTGTGATATTTTAGCCCTGTTTGCAGAAAAAGTTGTAACGAGTTAATAGTATTAAATGAATAATAATGCTGCTGTTGATAATGTGGTCTGTGAAAAATTTTTAATTTACCAAAATATTTGAATTTGATCAATTAGAATGTATATTCGAATTTACTGGCGTAGATAGTGTAATAATTAACAGAGAACAAAAAAAATATGCTAATTAGTTGGTAGTTTAAATATGTAAGTAATTTGCTGTAGAGTCATTAAAATATGTTTAGGTGAAAGTAAACACATTTTTTTTTATTTTTCACATTTTTTTATATCACATTTTTACTTTCAATAAGTAGCTGCCTAATTCATTTTAATCTTTACGTATTCCATGATAATTCATCCTCCCAATCGACTTTCAGTTTCACTCACCTGTTTTTGCCACTTACCTAACATTTTAATGTATTCAACTTAACATAATTTAGTTTAATGTTGATAGTTAAAGTAATGTTTACACACGGAATGCACGATGAAGATAAAATATGACGTTTTACTTAAGGGGGTCGAAGCAGTGTAAAAATTAGTGTAAAACTGAATTTTAGTTTGCTTCAGGGTCCAGTCAATTCAAAACAATTCAGAATTAAATTCATATCAAGAGTGCCGTAGTCATTCAGTTGACCGTTTGTTAACCCCTTGCAGTTATAGTTTTCATAAATGTCATTAAAGACATTAATAGATATTGGAAAAAAAGAAAGTATACATATCTGCACTCAAACATAATAACAATAACAACTCTGTTCAATGAAATTTTTCTGACAAATCTGATTGATGAAAAATGATTCCTACTTCTTGAAGAAATATAGAAGATCACTTTCCATCATAATACTTTAAAAGAAGAAGCAAAATAAAGAATATATTTTCGTTAGACAAAGAGCAGAACTATTAATGATGTGGGTAAGTATGCCACCGTAGAGATATTTCAGCCTTCGGCAATTTCGAGAAGTAGAAGATTTGTTGATCAGCACCTGATAGGTTATAAACCTGAGCGAAAGTGCTCGTTCTTACAATCTCAAGTCTACGCTTGTCTTTCCAATTTTACTTTCGGTTACACAAAAATTAAATTTATTCATTAGCGTATACCAGATTTATTAGTTATCCCCACTCAGTTTTATACTCTTATAAATGTAACTGATAACACAGCTTTAAACTGAACAGATGGCAAGCAACACTGTTAAGAAAGTTCTTAACAGCATAACGTGCGAGATTGAGATATATATTTTATAACGGCAGGTACCGTTTATAATAATTAGGACATGTTAGAAAATTTATTAGGAATATATGAGTGCGTAGATTTTTAAAGTGGTTATGACATGAAGTTAGTAAATGTATTTATGTGATCAGGAGCCGATGGAAGATTTGCAAAAAATAAAGACGTTTTTACATAATCATTTTAAAAATGAAAACAGCTGTTACTAAGAAAGAAGTAGAGGTAATTGTTCAACTATTTCAAATGATTGTGCATTCTGTACACTTAATATTTTCCAAGTGATCAGAAAAAATTGTTTATTCTTTAATTTACTGGTTTACACATCGTTTTAATAATATATTTGATTAGTTGCAAATTTCTCTTATGTAAATTTAATACTCAGGGTAAGTGGGAAAACTTACTTTTTAATTTTAACTGATTTTACGAACGAACGCATATTGTTGAAACGTTCCCTAAACCTATCAAAAATATAAAAAAAAAACACTTTTCGATAGTAGAGATAGACAAAATAGGGACATCAAGTAGTGCCAAGCAAGTGTTTCCAAAACCACGAAACATACTTCTGAAAAGTAATAGGTACAATGGTCGCGATTTGGCCTATTTCATAAAGTAAACACTGGTAAACTCTTTCAGTAAAAAAACATTGTTGTTCCATTTTAGAAGTTTTTATATCATAACATTTTTGTAAAAATGGTGCTTTTTCCTATTTGAATCGGTGTATCTTGTTTTACGAATTAATCTTATTTAAATAACTTAAATTTAAAATGCCTTTTTAGGTAACAGTTGCGTTTTTCAAAAAATTTCAGTGGCACATACAACTTTAGCCTTTTACCATAAGTATTAGTTATTAAAGTTTTAGTTCGAAACACATTATGTATAATTATATGAAAATGAACATATCAACAAACTAGTCAGTTTTGTTAATCGGTTTCAGTGGTACACGTGGTAATCAATGTAACGAAATCTGAACCATCTTAATTCAAAGTGTACATAAGGTTACAATAATTTGCTTTCATTTAAAAGTAGAGGCGTATGAAGATATAGTTATATTGAAAGAGCAATAAAAATAAATCAGAGGAAATCATGGATTTTTGAAGATTTGCATTTGATATAATTTTCGTCTTGTCAGATAATTGTCACTTTGAAAGTTTGAGTGTAACATGGAACGATCAAAGACAAACTTTCAAAACCTATGATTGTCTTTAATCGTTTTTTTATTGCTGTCTTGATAGTAACATTTTTTTAATATAAATTAGACTTTTCAGTTTAAAATAGTTTTCAGAATTAAATAGGATTATGTTGGAGGTAACCGCATTGGAAAATTAGTTTTTACATTGTGAAAAGTAAGAGACATTTGAAAGATAGGTACTATAGGATCAAAAAACAAACTTCTCTAGAAGGCCGTGAAATTTATTTTTAAAACAATGGTGTTGAAGTTGCAGCTATTTGATGATTTCATCCTTTATTTAACCTCAGTTGTCAGATTAAATAACGAACGCTTTGGTGTTATCAACATCTTTTTTTTTATAAATTGCACGGCCTACTGGAGAAGTTTTTTTCGATCATATGATATTGTCATTGGTATACCACATGACTGGAAAAAAGAGTCCTTAAGTAGGCCATTAAAATAATAATTTTGGCAACACCAATGCATTCCTTGTTCAATTTGATAGTTGTGTTCATATAATTGTGAAATAACTGTATTCCTAACATCATTAAAAAAATAAATTTGAATGCCTACTGTAGGACTGTTTTTCCGTCATATTGGTATTTGTAACAAAGCAATCGGACTGAAGTTACAAACTTTTACCATTTTTTTTTTGTGATTTTTTCTATTTAGTTCAATGTTAGTCTGATTGATATTTTAAAATTCGAAATTTCAGGTTTTAATAATCGGAGAATGTTTAAGACGCAAATAAATGAAAACAAATGAAATTTATTTCGACAGTACTTACTCTTTTCATAATTTCGGTTTGATAGTACATTTGTATGTTGTTATCTATATTTTGAAAAGGTTTCGCTGAATCTTTTTACTATAAATTTTTCAGTAAAGGCAGTGTTTTGATCTAATAAAAAGTTGAAACACAATATCTCGAAAGTTGTTCTACTGTCTAAGTAGGGAAATACGTACAACCTAGTTAAAACCACTTCACATTGTGCCATTACTGTATTTTCCATATACAGTATATAATTGCTAATTATAGCAGTAATTACCTTGATATAGACTTGTGTTTAGTACCTAAATCACATTAACCCAAAATTAAATCAAAAGGTTTGATGGATCAAAATACCTGAACCAGTTATGTAATGTTCAAAAGATGTTTTTAATCCGGGAATGGAAATGTAGGTATTATTACGAAACGTATATTCGTACATTTGTCTAATAGTTTTGACTGCAAAAATGCAGAATCTTTGACTGAAAATTTCTCTAGAATCGATTAAGGAAACGTTTACTCTTTTTTTTTTCAAGGGTTGAATCATAATTCATATTTATGGAAATTTTTTTGAATGATTCAGCGTCAAAATATTACGTTGTTCAAAAGAAATTTAAAATGAAATGTGATCGCTATACTGTTAAAAACATACTAAGCAATAAGTTAACAACACAAAAATAAAAAAAAAACTTCGTGTTAACCGACAACTATTTCAAGATTAACAATGAAGATCAACAAAAAACTGAACAGAACTCGAATGCATTGAAATTATTGAACTCTTAACAAATTGTTTTGAAATGGCAGCTTATATTTTTTTTATAAAATGTGTGGGTTCTAAATTTACATAAACACTAATTCAACAAAAAATGTTTTTATATTTGTTACTCTCATTGTTCAAGATTATCTTTATCTACTGTTAGTAAATTTCTAAGTTTTACTCTTGCCTAGAGTATAATAAATGACGAGGTGGCTATGTCCAAAAACAAGTCAAAAAAGTAAAATGACAATATAGTTTTCAGGGTAATTATATCCGGTTCATGAAAAGCGAATTAAAAGTTAATTGCGATTAAATTTTAGTTGGGGTTCGTTACTATGCAACGTGCATGTTTTCACCAATCACGTAAATCGTAGGATACCAAACTGCCCAATAAGAGGACAGAAGAGGAGAGTATTTATTAAAATGAAATACACAATTATTATAAAATTATAACATTTATAACTAATAATAATTTATTGGAGATTGCTAAGAATACTTCTATTATTTCATTTATTTGAATGAAATTGTCTAAATGGAGATAGTGTAACTGTGTTCTGTATCGTATACGATTTTCTTATCGAATCTGCCCTCGTATTCCACTAGGGCTAATTTTATTGGAATGCATGTGAAAAAATTTCCAGGAACAGTCACTTGGGAGATTATAAGTGAAAATTAAATGACTTTGGAATTGTATGTTCTCAAATGGCGGTACAGAAACTGATTTTTAACGAATACCTTCCTAACCACTAGAGAAAATAAACACTGCACTGTCCACAACAAAACAAGAGAGATAGCATCATCAACTTTTTAAGGAGATAAATTTTGTGTGCAACAAAGTAATCGTCTATTGACTATCAATTGGCAGTTTAATTAGTCATCCAAAAAATGTTCTTATGAAAAAACTTATATATATTTTTTTGTTACAGTGATGCCCAAGCGTAAACATTCTCATGGCTGCAGTGGTTAGCCATGCAATGCGACGATTTCCAACAACTCAGCCTGATGCCGTTTATCCCTACGGTTTAAGGGTAAGTGTTATTACTTATTAGTCTAATTATTGTATAAGTATACCTCGACATGAACGGTTGTTATTTGGTTGAGTTAAATTTAAAAACACCAATTTCCTTACTTCAGGCAGAAAGAACAGAATCATATTTCTTTAAATGGATCTACTTAAATATATCTAGCTTAAATGCTTTACAAACTCAGCTCACCCTCCAACATGTTTCACGGTTTGTAAGCAAAATCTGTTAATAAGTTGTAGACAAAACGTTTACTATTTTCAAAGTTTTTTTTTCAATTTGCACCTTAAGCTTCAAATCGAAAACTGGTCGTAAGTTATTTCGATAGAACTTCTCTTGCTCCCAAAGTACAGAGTCGAACAATATAGCTTCGAAAAATTAGAAGATTTAGTTTTGGGAATTTAATTTGTTTATGATAACGATAACCCTTATAAGCTAAAATAAATCAGACGACGGTCAGATGGCGACAGCAGGTTTTCGCTTGGGAAGTAGAAATATGATGTCTCTTAAATAATAACCAGTTTGGAATGTTGCTTTATTTTAAATTGAAAAAAAAAAGATAATTAAAAGGGCCAAAAAAGTAATTTTTTCCGATTAAAAATAATATGAGATACAAGCATATTGCAAAATTATAGCTGAAATAACTGTTGTTTTTAAAGACACTTTTATTAAAAACTTTTTTCATTCAAAACAAACAAATTTCTCTATGCAACAAGTTGGACAAGCAGAGCATTTTACTAAAAAAAAAAAATTCAATCTAGAAATGTTAAATTCGAAATACAGGAATTTACTGTGGTTACGTTAGTGTGCACATCACAAAGGTCATCGTAGTGCTAACATTCATTTTCAATTGTGCTGCGGGTCATATTCCATAACGCATCATCTTATTACATTCCGTTATTCTTGGGATGAATAAGCGAAATTTGTGAAGAACGGTATTTAGTATATTATTATAATTTGAAGTCATTGGTTTTATCTCCACCGGCAAAATTCGTGACCTTTTTGGTGATTGTGTGTGCAAAGTATTTGGACTTCCCAGTTTGTAGTTACTTCTAATTTAAAAAAAAATTTAATAGGGTTATATTTAAAAATAAAACAATATATATATGTATGTATACTCTCGTTGTAAATATCTTACATCTTGCGTCTAAAATACCGTAGTGCTCACTTCAGGTGACTGTCTTCATTTCCATCTTTTTAGCGTTATTTATAACATTACTATATGTTACATTAAGCAATCTACTGCATGCCGTCCGCATGTTGCTTTCAATATACTGTTTTCCGAAGCTGGGGAACGTGCTGATACTAAAATTTTTGTCTAAATAAAATTTTAATAAAAAGGATCATGGTAAGATTTTTTCTGGACTGACCACATTATTTTTGTAAATTAAAATCAGAGGCTAGGGAAATTCTACGTAAATAAGTTTAGACCATTTTTTTAAAGATAAAAATGAAATAGCCTTAAGTTTATATTTGCAATCTTTAGCGTCAAGCTATATTTAATAGCGACTACAGTTCAACTCTTATCAATTTTGTATTCTTTTTTGTTGTTTTTATCGACAGTATTTAACAGAAGAGTTTTAGGAATTTCGTTCCATCGTGTCCATTTAGGCTAAAAGAATACCAGACGACACGAAATTTTTACGTCAATTTAAAAATTATTTACCCTGTTTCACACATTTATTTATTTTTCAAATTATAAACTTAGAACATGGAAACCAATCCCCAGTGTTAATTTGTCTGTGTTGTGTATATACGCTAATTATTATTATCAATTAAGTAGCTTTTCTTTTGAGTTGTCAGTCTGAATATAACACAGGATAAATATAAAATTTTCTAAGTATTGTTTTCTTTACTCACCTTAAAAAATAGCATTTTTCTTTTTCGTGGACTTCGTAGTCGTAGCCGATTATTTGAAAACAAATATTATACACATTTATGGTTGTTGGAATGTCTGGAAAAAAAAAGAATGCTTATCTTCAACAGCACCTGCGAATTTACATGTAATATCAAAGGGCTATCAGTGGAACGGATGTTACGCAGTTTGTACAATACCTACTTTTTCCCATTTGCACAGTGCAGCATATGTTGAAAACTATTAGTATTCTAGTACGGTACAGAAATTCTTACACCGCAAGAATTGTATCTGGCTATTTAAATAAAGAATCAGATAAGAGAGAACTTTAAACTTGAACTTAATTGAACACGTTTGGGACATCTTTGCTCCGAGGATATGAAAGTGAAATATTGCTTGTTAGTCGTCTAGCGATGTAGATACAACAGGAAGTTTGTTCTAATTATATGTGAGAACTCTGGGCAGTAGTGATGAAAGTAAAAAAATGTTATTTAAATTAATATGGTATGTTTCTTGCACTTTCTTATACAATACAAAAAATTGGGCTAAGGTTATTTAAACAGAACTTCACTTGCATCCGAAGTATAATCGAAGAAACACAGCTTCTTCGAAAAATTGTAAAATTTAGACCTGGTTTATAGAAACCGAAGTTAAAGTTAATTCGCGATTAACTTTTAATTGAGGTTCGTTGCTAGGCGACGTGCAGGTTTTAACCAATCACGAGCTCCCATTCCACATTTTAATCCAGTGTTAAATTAATCGAGGATTAAATATTTAACTCGCGCTTCTATAAACCGGCCCTTAATGTTGTGAATTTTATTTTATTTTTTTATGATAACCCCTATAGGCTGAAATAAAAATATGTTTGAACTGTTAAAGTAGGTACAGGAAAGAAACATGGAGATACCGGGAATCGAACCCCGGAGCCTTTCATATGCAAAACGAGCGCTGTACTGTCATGAGTCACGCTTGAGGTATCATCATATTATGTATTTACAGAACAGCTTTACTATTAGACGGATTAAACATTAAAAAATAATATAATAGTTAAAAAAAATCAAGGTAGATTCATAAACCACAAGTACAACAGTGTGTTATTTTATAAAATTTAAATAGCATTTGCTAGTTAAAATTTCACAAGATACAGTACGGTAGTTTCTGAAATTATCTGTTTAATAAAAATCGACACAGACGACAGACAAATATACGGAAACGGGAGACCTATTTTCTCGTTCTATAGAGCTCATGAAACGTCGAGAAAGTATGAAAGTAGTCATTCGCCGGATGAACTCTTATTACAATACTTCTTTAGCTTATGTTCGGAAAGTACAAAAAATATAAGATGGTATTACAACAAAATAAATCGATTTTTCTGTACTATTTTTTTTTTCATTGCACGAGGTTTTGTTTTCCCATAATTAGAACTATTCTATATTTCTCTATTTTATTATGTTATTATTTTATTGTTGCAGCCTGAAGGATCCCGAACGCCTTGGTCGTCGTCAGATGATGGAGAGAGCGCTTTATCACGTTCAATGCGATACGCGGATCCTTGGCTATATGGTAGTGTCCGAGCTCCTGCAGGGCTAGTTTTAACACCCGCCTTCGTGTTATGCACATGTTTGGATTACGTTAACGGTACCAAGCGTTCTAACAAGAAGAGTCCTTCAACATGCAAGAAATGCAAAGGCACACGATTACCTCTTTCGGCAGCGGAAAGCAAGTTCGGAACGGTGCGATGTTATCCAACGTCCACCACAGCCACACCTCTAAGAGCTGGCACCGTGCGGGTGGCTGGCTCTTCATCGAGACCCTCGATTCTGCCATCTTCTGACCCCTATGATCTTATGAGAAGGTCGAGGCTCTCAGTGTCCGAAGCAACTACGAGCCACTTTCGAGCACGTTCTATTTCCCCTAGTAAGAGTAAAAGTACTGAGTCCAGAAGTCACAGTGCTAACAGAACCAAAAATGGCCCCGTGGAAAGCTTCGGTTCGACGGCGGGTCGCCGTTCGATCCTAGAATGTGATATAAATCCCTATGAACTGATGTCTTCTGAGTCCGAGCTCAGAGACGCGAGCATAACTTTAGTTAATGGCCAAAGAATACGTGTTCGACCCCCTTCAGCGGATTCGGAATACGAAGATGTACAAGTGAAAAGGCCGACTGCATCAAAAACGCCCCAAGTTAAAAACAAAACTCCGTCGTCACAAAAGTTAAATGAAAAGGAATCTGAATGTAACCGGTTCAAGTCTATATTAAAGAAACCAACGACAACTTTCAGTGACACGGATTCAAACAGCCGCGAGCACAGCCCCTCGCCCGCGCAGAAAAGTGGGTCACACTTTTACCTGCCTATGCCCGTCAACACACCCAGGAAAAAAGTGCAGTTTTTAGTAGAAAATGAACTTGAAACTCATGAACAAAGTAATCGAAAGGATGATGAAGCGAATTGCACTGTCGACGACTTACACGAAACGTCGTGCTCGGAGGAGTGCGAATCTGAATCGTCTAGTGAGGAAGTGCAGCAAGGTAAAAAGAGATTGTAGTAAATGGTAACCATAAGATTAATATTGTTTTAAGACCATTAGAAATATGAAAGGTAAAAGATCTTATTCTAATTTATCCACATGAACTTTTGCTTTATTTGTTTTTATACTGTTTAGGACGATATCTCATATGGTTTTTTGATGTTTCAAACAAACACAAAAATGTTTTTTTTATCATTTATTACTAAACTAATATTCAAGTTTTTTTTTCTGAATTTAGTGCTGAATGTTTGTGAATGTACATATATGCTTTGTATGTATATAATAATGAGCATTTAAAGATATTCAACATTATGCAGTAATAATACAAATAATGATGGGAACCGCATCTTAAAGTAAATAAAATGGTTGCATCAGGATGTAGACGATGCGAAAATTTTGATAGAGATATTTTTGTTAGAAGTTTTGAAAAAGCAAAAATATACTTAAGGCTCATAAAGAGACATATATTTACCAACTAACGTGGAATTAGTGATATCCAGCAGCAATTTATTTTGGAGTTGAACCTATCATATCGTCTACTTCGTCTGAAAACTTTTTGCTGTACCAAATGTTGATTTGCATTTTTTTTTTTTTTATTTTATATCGAAAGCCTGAGTTATTATATGTTGTGTCTCAAAACTGTGCAATAAACTGAAAACTGTAAATCATAAAAGTGGGAGCATTTGTGCAAGTTTCCAACAAACACAATAATAACAAATAAAAAGTACAGTAAGTGTAAGTGTGTTTTAAATAACAATTAGTTCATTCATGATTTGTTTTATTGTTTTATTTTATTATTGTGATTACTACTATATATTGCTACTGCTACTACACGTACTAGCTGTCTTATTAGTGGACAATTTCAAGCGTAACGCAAAATGACAAATAATAGTTTCCGTATAACTTCCGTAAAAGGCCGTAGCGTTAAATGATATTTGTCGCTATTTTTATTTATTTGAGGTAAAACCTGTGTGGTAAATGTTTTACATTAATATATTGCACACGTCTAGGATTTTCTTTCGAAACTGATGAAGGTTGCTTTATGTCAATGAATACTGAACATGTGGGCCAAATAAAATAAACTCAGTTTGTTGAAATTTGCAAATTACTCTGGCAGTGACGCCACTTTATGCACTCGACATTTTACATTTAGGATTTATGTAATTGTTAGTGCTTTCAACCAGTCTTAAGAACTCGCTAAAAGTTCGAAAGGTCGTAACACTATAAGAGAGTTATATCCTTAAAATATCTTTATTTTTTTTGTCAAGATTTTTACTGACCTCATCAAAACGTCCATATATAAGGATCTTTGTTATGTTAAGTTGAAATCATCTAAAATCTGCTGGTTTTTGTAAATGAATGACTGAGTTTGTTTTGAAATACTATCAGTTTTCATTGTTTTTCTAAATAAAAAAGAAGTATTTTCTTCTAAATTTATATCAAAAAAATATGGACATACATTTTTTAGAAACAAAGGTAGAACAAAGTACATTTTTAATTTCACAAAACTGTCAAAAGTTGTACTGATGGTTGATACTGTAAAAGGTGTTTTCAACTTTAAAGTATAGTTTTTCAAATTCGTGAATGAATATATTATGGGTCATTTTTTCTGTTACATTATTACGTGTAAAGAATAATTAATTTCGAAGCCAACGATGGAAATTGTTTATACACACTACATGCAATCACGCAGTTATGACTTCTGAACTTCGTATTTTTAATTACGATGTACTGTTTTCATACATTATTTTTTCTTAATAAGTTAATAACATATTAAGCGGTAAAAATCTTACATTTAGCTATTAGATAATAAGAATTGAAATAATGGACAATGAGTGAAAAAAGATGAATAAAATCGATGTGAACCTCATTTTATGAATTTAAATTTAAACAGAACGTTTTTTTGGTATACTGCCTTGCTTTCGTTAGCTCTCTCATTAAAGTTATTTCCATAGGTGTTTAAAATAACAATCAAAAATACATTATAATTAATGTGTTATTAATGCAAGGAAAACGTACATATACCTAATAAATTTAATTAATTAGTCCTTGTTATATTCCATTTATTAAAGCGTTTGAACCTTTGTGCAACACATTCTAATTATCTCTTTTTCTATTTACAATACAGCAAATAATTATTGTTCAACACTACACTACGATTTGGTTGAAAGACATACTTACACTCGCTTTTTTGACGTCTTTTTAAAACTACAGATACTTTAACGTATAACGTTTCTCTAAAATAATAAACTCAAAAAATTTAAATGTAGGTTTATTAATTTTATTACATGGTCAAATATATTTTTTGGTGGAATAAAAAGCATTGTAAAAAGTAACACAGTAATGTTGTTTTCGTAATATTTTCTTTTCATAAATTTATTTTCGCTGTCTATCTTACGTAATGTTAATTTTACGACTGAGTGCTCCACTTACAGTGTTGGAATTTAGAATATATACCAATTTATTTCCATCGAAAATTATTACAACATGCGTTCTTAAAATTAAGCGATTTTTTCATAAAAGTTAGTTTTTTCTCTGTTTGTTCCTATCAAATCTACACTATGCAATATTAAAAAATCACTGATATTCTATATATACATCTATATTCCACAAATTAGTAACTGGTTTTGATATTACATATCAAAACATGACTCAAAAGTTACATCTGTTATACACAATAACAAGCCAGTGTTTTGGTTCAACCCACAGGCTTTACAATGTCGCCTATTTGCGTTAAATCAGCGGATTTATTTTGTTATGTTCATCAATCGACACCGAAATCGGAAAAATTGTATCGTTTATTATTAAAAAAAATGTTCTGCTGCTTATCTTGGATCCCAGTCCTATAGAAACATTAATCATTATCGCTTTTGTTGAAATTATTTCTTGTTTTTTTATTAATTTAGGTTTTCAGGACTAGGTTTTTTTACGACGTTTGACTACCTTTAGTAGTGCTTTCTCAAGGCTATGCACTATTATTAGTCAAAAATTATTGAAAAAGACAAACATATTAGAATTTTATACCTGTAGTGCTGTAATGAGTGACCGGTTATTAATTTGTTGAAATAACGAATCATTTTTTACTGGAATTTGCCTGGCTTTCGCGAGAAAATAAAAAATTGCTAGTCTCGTATAACAAAATGGAATACAAAATGTAATTGAAGATACATTTATTACATTCATACAATGTTTTTTCCCAAAAACAGGTTCGGAATAAACATGGATAGGTAAAACTCGCCTGCGGCTCGCCAGTCATATCCTTCTGTCCGCCAGTAAAAACCCATTTACCATGCTAGTAATGTTAAATACTATTGACTGTGATTTAATAATGCATCAACATTTTTATTCTCAACTAGAAATCATTTGGTAAATAAAATTTGAGAAAACCATTACAGGTAAGACCGATTTATAGCCAGTGTAAGCATACAGTCTGAATGGGAAATCAGAGCTCCATTTTCTGTCAAGCTGGACGATCATTATACTAAGTAAAATGAAAAAAATATGTGGGAGTATAGTCCTTCAATTTTTATAAATATTTTAATTCTAATATTTTAATTCTCTCTGATACACTGGGCAAAAGCTAAAAAAATTGAAAATGTTTTGAATTACTATTAAAATACAATACTTTCAAAAAATATGAAGCGAACATTATGTTTTCTGTGATTTTTTTTCCAAGTAAGCTAAACAGGACTATTTGTTTATGTAGATTTTAAAAGAAACTGTGAAATATTATTCTAAAAATTGTGTATGGTCAAAAATATCAGCACTTCATTATAACCCAGATAAAGAAGAATGTTAGAATACAAATTTTAAGTGATATTTACTTAATACTCCTAACATTTTTAGATTTTGACATTTTTAGTGGAGATAATACTTAAAACGTTAGTTCTATACTTTTGTATTGCATGAACAAGGCTGTGAAATGAGAAAACATGAACTTAGACTTGCGTTACAATGATCCTGTTACAGCACACAGTATTTTCCTTCTTTTCAATTTCAGCTTACTTTAATGGTTGAGGTCTATATCTATCTCTTTAAGTTTTTTTTATTAATTTTGTTTTTTTTTTGCAGAAAAATCAAATCCAAAGGTCTGCAAATTACGGAGAAGTGTAAGTGAACGTTTTAACAATGAAGCGAGGAAAGTTGTATTCCACGATACAATGGCATTACGTTCACGTTCACGAAGTGAAGTGAGAATTGCTTTCGGTGAACAAGATTTGGAAAGATTAGATGGACTGACTTCAAGAACGAGGCGGAAAAGTCCAACATCATTACGTCCTAATGAACCACCCCCGCCCCCGCCACCAGCGTCACCTGACAAATTAGAAAACAATGAACTCAAAACGTCCGGCTTTACTGACACGATTAAATTGGATAAAATAAAAAACAAAAAAGTAGAATCAACTCCAAGGAAAACAAGTGACATAAAAAAGAAGACAGAAAGTGCAGAAACTCCAAAGCCTGAACAAGTTGTTGGAAATCATAAAGCAAAAGACGTTAAGGATTCTAATAAAGAAAAAGGTGTTAAAAATGGTATTAAAAACGTAGTAAAGTGTATAGAAGAACAGCCATGTAACAAAAAACTTCAGGGAACAAAGGAAGATAAAGTGGAATTACAGCAAATCATCAATGATGTTCCGCCATCCGCACCGCCTCGTAAAAGAAGCAACAACAAACAGCCACATGTTCACATTGTACAAACAGCTTCGGCTATACAGTCTGTGCATATCGAATCACCAAATTCACCGATTTCACCGACTGTTGATCAGACAAACAAAACCGTTGTTCAAATTAACGGATCGCGGACAGTGCACAAATTGCAAATTAAAAACGAATTCACAGATGTTATAAACGTTCAAACTGTTTCCGTGCTTGATAGTCCTCAAAGAAAAACATCTATCATGATAACAGGTGATGATTGTTATTCAACCGTAAACGTTAACGACGACGTTCCACTTTATCAATCTTCGGTTGTTGTTAAGGATACTGTTCCAGAAACAACCGTAATTCAGAGTACCAAAAAGAGCAGTTCCGTTTACATTACCGGTAATTTTATCTCTTCAGAACCTGTAACATCACCAGTTGAAATTAAAGATTGTGTGAAAGAATTTAAGGTCAATGAATCGAATAATGAATATATCTCAGAGAACAGCAGTGAAAGTGGTAATGAAGAATATGAAGAGTGTGAAGTAAGTCACAATGCAGAAGTGAAGAAAAGCGAAATTATTAAGAAAGCAGATAATAATATTCTTTTGGATACGTTCGATGAAAATGACATACCCTCGTCGGAATTATTGAAAGAACTTTTAAAAGATCCTGTAGAAGCAGTTCGAAGAAACTTAGTCCCTCATGTCTGTGGTAAATCAGATGTGCCTAGGAGACGACGTGCCAAGAAATTCCTTCCCGATGAGACACCTCTAGACTTATCAGAAAATACGGATTGTTTACATAATTACTTAGATGAATCTTTTCTAAGGTTACAAAATTCGAATTTACTAGGAGATGATTTAAGTTCAGAACATAGTTCGTCCACTCAATATGAATTAATGGATGCCAGTTCTGAATGTTACACAGATCACAGCAATCGAAGTTCTGTAACAGAGGAGGAGTTAGTGAACAGAACTAAATTTTATGAATTATTAGCAGATTCAGCTGTAGTTGAAGTATCAGAAAATGAAGATCACCATTATGAAAGTATTAAAAATAACTCCGATCCGATATATGAAGAAATTGAAATTCCGCCACCTTTGCCAACGAATCCTCCACCATTGAATCTTTTAGACGATTTACATTTAGATAAGGAATACACTACAAGGTTAGTATTGTGGTTTGTCACTATTATCACTCACTTTGCCATAATTTTTACAGGTCCATATTTGAAGGAGCATCGAAATATGATATTTTAAGTTATTTAGTGGATGCAAAGGAGAGAGGAATTGTTCCTGAGGATAATTATTCTTATAACTTTGTTAATAATGGAATTTCAGTAGACGACGATACCAAAGAATCTTACAACAGGGTATGCCACATGAGTACAGTAAGCGATTCAAGTGAAGATAATAGTTTGATTATGCCAAGTCCTTTATGTGATGATAAATCTCCTTTTCAAAAAACAGCAGAAGTTGAGAGAAATGATTCTGGTGTAGGCTCTGAAACCAGTAAAAGTTCTTTGAGTAAATATAGGCTAAAACCTGAGACATCGGTAACTTGTGAGGACTGTGAGTCGGTTATCGAATCTTCTGCTGAAACGGAACCGTTAATTTGTCGAAAATGTTTAAAGAAAAGGTCAGAACGCAAAGAAATTATTACAGAAATAGTAGAGACTGAAGAGAAGTACAGTCGAGATTTGCAAATTATTTTAGAAGAGTTCTATCAACCTATGCTAGTGGCTGGTTTACTGACACCAGAACAGTTATCGGCAATATTTTTAAACGTGGAGGAACTTTTAGAAAACAGTCAAAGCTTAGCAGAACGGCTAAGAGATGCAGTTGAAATAGCTGTAGAACAAGGAGACGAAGATCTCCTGACTGTAAATATCGGCAAAATATTTTTAGAAGCTGCACCTATGTTACACGGTTTTGAAACATATTGTGTTCGACAAGGTGCGGCAAGCTTACTTCTGGCTAGTCTTGAAAAAGAAAAGGAACTTCTCCGAATATTTTTAAGGGTTTCTCAAATGGAAAATACGATGTTAAGGAGAATGAATCTCAATTCATTCCTTATGGTACCTGTTCAAAGAGTCACTAAATATCCTTTATTGCTTGCACGATTGTATAAAGTTACACCTATTCATCATAACACAAAAGAACAATTAAAGGAAGCGCAACATAAGATTGAACTCCATTTAAATCATATGAATTCTGAAACTAAAGATGTGCCTAGCAAATTATGGCGAAGAATTGGAAGTAGTAATGGTAGAAGGTCAAGTACAGAAATGGATTTAGTAAACATAAAGTTACGAAAAATTGCTGTTGACGTTCTCGAATGGAATCACGACGAAGCTAAATTTGCGTTAGAAGGCAAATTGCTGTTTACTCAACCAACTGATAACAACTGGAGAAAAGGGAGGACTATAAAACTGACACCGGTGAATGCCCTTCTTGTAATTAACGGCAAGGTAATGTAAACGTTGTATTCTTGCTGCAGCTCAGGTAAACGATTTCACATTAAAGGAATAAATATCCGAAGTAAAATTATTTCTAAAACTTGTATGAAAGTAAGGCGCTAAGGTTTCCATCAAAATTAACCTGAATTATGAACCCAGAATTAGAACTAATCAACCATAAAAATGATTTAACGGGAAATATTTATAGTCCATAAACATTGTAAAACTGTTATTCCACAGTAGAAAAAACTGACCCATTTCAGGGAAAAATACTAAATCGGGATGGAAATGAAAACACTTTGGGACCTGTGTTTAAATAATAAAAAAATACTCTTTTAACTAGTTTGTTCCTTTTTTGTAGTTTATTTCGTTTCATTATTGTAACCTAATACAGCCAATATGTTAAACAATGAACAGCTAAGCAAATACGGGCAATGCTTTTAAAATAACTTTTTCTACCGCGCACGTTTTTTGATTTTCTAATAGAGCTATTAAAGCACCCAAATGACGTCAAAGCGGCTCGTTAATAGCGGAAAGGGGTTTTGAAATAGATCTGGCGTAATTTAGATCGGTAAGATTGGTAGCAATGACGAGAAATATCACGTGAATGTCAGTGGCAAATGTCAAATTAAAATTTCCCGTATTTCGGGAGGCGTAAGGACTTCACTAACTTCTTCACAAGACATTTTAACCAATTTTAACTCACAAAAACTCGAATTGAATTGAGTCGAATTACAGTAGTTGTTGTGAAAATTCGAACTTCAAATATTTCGTAGTTCGTGTCAGAATGCTAATCTAAGTTTGCAAATTTGTAATTTGTTGACGTGATTAAAATTTTGAAACTATCAAAGTAATAGCCTAACAATATAGTTTAAACTATTTAGTTTAAGATGGAATGTCTTCAAATATTTTTTTAATATCTAAATTTTTTTTAGCGCATTCATATAAAATAAATAAGTTTTTTGGGATGGAGCATTCATTCTTTGTTCTCTATTTTAACTTCTATTTTCATAGATGATCATAATTACATAATCAATAATGAAACAAATTTTGCTGAACATTATAATATTATTTATAATAACGAGTGAAACTATGACTTACTTGATGTAATCATTATTTATTAAACATGTATTGCAAGTTGAATTGTTGGTTGCCTACCACACATACCTATTAGAGTACGCGCAAATCAAATTCTCATTCTTAAAATAAAGCCTGCAAGGTTTGCAAATAAATAATAAATAAATTTAATTTAACTACTAAAGAAAATTTCTATTTAACGGTTTCTTATGCATGTGTTGTTTATTATGGCTGACACTGAAAATTTTCTTAAACCTTAGGAAGCAACTACATTTATGAATGAATAATTTCACTAGTTAAATTCGATTAAAAACTTTTTAATAGTGAAATTACTTCGGATTTTTCAGTCCTGTCTCCGAATTTGCGGTGTGTAATTTTAGTAATTCGTCACGTCCCTTTTTTGACAGCCATCAATGAATCGACCGGAACGAAACGATGAAAATAGTCTGATATTTTCACGGCATTCAGCAGTTCGAGAAGCTGCTCTTCTTCTGGTTCGGGACAAGAACGGTCGGTATTCCCTGTTACGAGAACCACTTTATCTGGATCGCTGTGTCATCGCCGCTGACCCGGCGTGGCAGAGCTATTTTGAAGTACAAGAACTCCTTGGAAAGGATACTTTTATATTTAAGGTATGTGTTAGTTTATCATCGTTTATAAACAGTTCACACTTTTTCTTGACAAGATGAAATGTGAGGTGAGATACTATATGTGCTTTCATCAACTCGTCGGACCGTTTGTCCGTTTGTTCTGACAATTAAAATAACTAACACAAGATTTTATCTTTAGAAATTCGTCATGACTTCATAATTGAACTTTTTAACTTTTAAATTATTATGCACTTAATTTTCTTCCAGCAAACACCAGAATTATTGCCACTTGGTTAATTCTGTAATTTAATGTCTACTGTAAGGATGACAATGGTATTTACAAATTAATTTAAATTATACCTCATCTGATGGCGCTGTTGAAAGTACAACAAAAATTCGTCAATATGAATTTAAGTAGATGTACTTAGTCAATACTTACCTAATATATTGTTCATATTAGGATCATTATTTTTAAACAATTTGGACCTATACAATAATTTAGCAGAACTGAACATAACACTTATGAAAGAGGCAGTATCGAAATTGACAACAAAAACGGATATTTTTTTCTACTGCAGTTTTAAGCATATTTGTAAGTTCGAACTTTCGCCATTTTGTATTTGAGGGTCTGCAGAATGAAATATATATTTTCAACTAGTTAGTATATTAGTATCTAAATTTTTGCAGTCCTGGCATTTTTTGTTAATAATGTTGCTTTATTCTGTCTCTTAGATACCTCTGATGCCAGTGGATATTCCAAAAACAGCAGTAAATTAATAATGACTGAACATTAAATTTTTATTTTAGGTTGTTTGCATAAATTCTAATAAAATTATACGTTTTGTTATATTATTATGTCAATTTTAATGTTCGGTCGTGTGTTTTAGCAAATTTCGCATGTTGAGTCTGTAAAACTGCGTTCTCAATCTTTGATATAAGTATGTAATAAGTACATACACATAACTATTTCACTTTAGTTTTAAACACCGTTAAGTGTTGGCTATTAAATAAAACTAATTCCTTTACAGCTGTTTGAAACGATGTTCGTTGAAGTGATAGTTTAAAAAACAATCCCATATTTACATTTTAATTAATTATTTAAATATTAAAATTCAAATTTTAGGCTGAAGACGATGAACAAACAAAAAAATGGTACACCCAATTGCAGTATCATGCTCAAGGAATGGGAGCCTGGAGAAAGCGACGTAATGCTTTAGCCAATATAATGATAAATGGTATGGGTTTAAGATCCTAACAACGTTCTTACATAAGCAGTCTATTTATTTTGTTGAGAGTAATGTTTTAAAAGCTTTAAAGCTATTACAACAACAAGTGTTTCTTGTAATTTGTACTTAGAAATCGATGTGTAAGTTTACATTTGTTGTAAATATTTAGTAATTTAGCTGTGATATTTTCTGGATGTGGTATTTGGGACTTCATTTATGTACTTCACAAACAGTAACATGCTTGATAAAATACTTGTGGTTAGTGTAATTTTATCTTTTATTAATCACTGTAAAAATTGTAATTAAATACCAACAAAAGTAATAAATAATTTTCAAATATTTTTTAAAATTATTGATTGTATGTACAAGTGTCGTTTTCGTCAAAGTGAAGGTATAGTATTGATTTGGTCCAGTTGCTAAAATTTTCAGAAGAAATAGTTGTACAGCGTACATCATATACTTCACATCAAATAACAACACCCTTATTATTTTTTCAATTGATCCAACTATTGTAAAATGGTTTCAATCATTTGTCAATGTCTTTAAAATTATACAAGACCTTATTTCTTCGTTAAAAAAACAGGTGCTCACTGTCCAATGCTACTGATAGCAGTTTAATTGCATCTGTCTCACACCGATATCGGCAGAATGGAGCGTCGCTCGGACAGCTTATCACTGCGTTTAAATCAGGACAGTTGCTGTATAGGCTGGTCAACAAAATGGTGTTAGCATTTGCCTTATGTTTTGAATTTCGGGTCCAACAATCCAACATAATATGTTAGAGACGCTTCTCACGTTTGCTAGTACTGATGTTGTGATTCGTCCATGATGAACAGACTACTAGGTACATTGTTACGCCAATAAGCGTTTAAAAACTTAAAACTGTTAAGGGTGGCGTCTGGTTCGGTTTCGCCCAATACTAAATACATTGAAAACATCGTCGTAGTTTCCAGAATTGCATTTTTAAAATACTGAAATCTCCAACCAAGCCAGAATCTAAGTAAACCTGCATTCTGCTACCGCATCACAGCTCGTTTAATGCCGATTTCTCGTTTCAATAGATTTTGACTTTTCGCGAGTTATTTACCTCAGTCGTGGATTTTTTAATATTATAAATGGTATCAAAAGAAAGCTGACACTTTTCCCCAGGGGACCTCCTATCTCAGAATGCAAAAAACTTCAGCACTTCGTCAAAAAATCCATCAATGTGCCGGTTAAAATGTGATGTAAAAGTTGTTCAACTTTATAATTTTTTTTTGTAAAAACTGCATACTAGATATGAATATAAATATGGAGGTCCCCTGGACTGAAGTTTGTTAATTCGAAATATAATTTTTTTAAAGCGATATATCTCATATTTTTAACATGCAACTCCGGAAACCGCGACGATGTTTTCAATGTATTTAGTATAGGGCTAAACCGAACCAGACGCCAGCCTTAAGTATGAAGTTCGATACAATTTCTACAAGACATTGCTGGATGAAGATCGAAGCTGACTTATTGTGTGTTACCTGACGGGTATGTATAATTAGCATTTTTGCTTGTGTGCTTAATTTCCTGGCAGTATAAAAGCGTAGAAAACTACTTGCAAAAGGTTATATTATTATGATAAACATTTTCCAAGTAATATATAAGGATATTAGGTAAATAAGTATAAATGAAACATAAATTTTCCATTTTAAACTAATTTTTATCTTAAAGTCATGTGAACGTATTAATCGTGGTTGCAAATAACAATAATTAATTCAGGATCATGACATTTTTATTATATTATATCTATAATTCTATATCCTATCATTCTATTTAACAGATTGTTAATAGTTCATTTATCAATAGTTTAGTTTACCTATAAATGCAGAAAGTGCAACTAAGTGCAAAAGTTGCGAGGTTGGTATTAAAAAAGATTACGATTAAGTTTGGATTTAATAAAAGGCACGTGAAGGTATTTTAATTTTCAAAAAGAAAAGATGAAGATAACTTTTTTATATACCTACTGACGAAAAGGTTTCTAAATTATAATTAGATTTTGTCAGTTTTTGTTACTTGGAAAAAAAAATAAATATTTTACGTTTTTTTTGTAGTTGTAGTAGTAGTTGGTAGTAGTGAAGTAGTTGGTTTTGTTTATTGTTTTATTTTCGCTTGTATACTCCGATTATCATAACTACCGCCAGATGTACCTTACATTGTTATGTAAAAACAGTGTGTCAGTAACGAAGTCGTCAGTGATGATTAATAAAATCATCAAATTCTAGGAAATTGACCCAGTAACAAAAAAAAAAAGATTTTTTTTTATTTGAAAGCAATTTGCGGTGGAAGTGCACAAAAAGCCTAAGATAAATGAAAGGAAAAAATATCATTATGATAGCGATAGTGGAGGACGTAAAACGTTGGAAAAATGTTTGGAAGAGGAGTAGATTCGTAAAAATAATTATTTAATTGTGTCTGTAGATAATAATTTTATCTAAAAAATCTGCAACTTGTTTTGGAAGAAATGGCCAGATAGTAGATGAGCCACCGATTCCAAAACACTGTAGATAGATTATGCCGGTTGTAGGTTGTTGTTTGTCAACTGTACATTCTAAGAGCTAAGAGTGGATATCACAGTCTGGAATTATCTGATAGGAGGGAGAGATGGAGACTTGGGGTTTAATATGATGAAAAAACGACGACGATTGGTTTCATAGCTTCTGGTAGGACCGCATGTAAAACGTGGTTGACGTAGGAGAGGAGAGTGCTGTCTTTGCGAGGTTATCTACTTATTGTTCATTACTGGGGACTCCAACATGGATCTGGACAAAAGTGACGAATGCACAATTTTTGGTCAAACGGATTTATTGAAAAAGAGTGTAGACGAGAATTTGGGTTCCTTGGTCGAAATTCGCCGGCGAATGTGCTTGAGAAAGCTGGGAGATGTTAGAATAATTTTCGTAAGCGATTGTTGCGTCCTTGTGATGTTGCAGAAACGTGCGATGATGATCTACGATAATTGCGGAAACAGTATCTCATTTGTTGAAACTAACTAGGTCGAGGTGAGCTGAGCTGCGGTCGAAAAAATGGGAGGAGATATTTTATAAGAAGTAGGTACCTAGCTAACGGAATTAAGAAGAGAAGAGAAAATGAAATAGAGAAGGAATTGAAGGCGGGCGTGTGTTACTTGGAGGCGATACATGTGATTTTGTTTGAAAAAGTTCGACATACCCCTGGGTTAACGGTTAAAATGTGTTAGATGATTGCTCTTGGTTATGTTTTAAATGTGAAAAAGAAAGATTTGGCGGTGGTCCTTATTTTGCTAAATAAAGAAGACCATAGACGGGACGACGGGAGATATAAAGCAAGCATTGAAAATGATTAAAAGAGGTACATTTTGCCAATCTTTTAAAGAGAAGTTACAGGGCTGGAAGAATGTGTCACACTGCAGTCCTGAGTTATTTCCTGACCGTCACGCAGAAACTGATTTTGAAGATGAGCGAATGTCCATTTAGTGTAATTGTTGTTGCAAATGCCCAGATCGTTAAGAAAAATACATTTGGTCCATCATTTTAAGTTTTGTACGTATGTTGGAACTGGTGTTGTGTTTTTTGGGAAACAATGTTTTCCTCAAAATAAGGTAATTAGAGTATAAGATAGCATGTAGGTACTGGAAAAGTATGTAATCGGTAAAAAGTTTTGTGATCTGAAGTGTGATTGATACATCGCACGACAATAATCCATATTATATGCATCAAAGGCTTTTTTCCAAGGTCAAAAAAGAAGAAGTTTTTAGTTTAGTACGACACCTCAACGCAAGAAAAAGTGTCCTATGTTTTTTGTCAGACCCACAAAATCATTATATACCTACTACTATCTTTACGAAGCGGCATGTGCATAATAAAATATGACTTTACTTTCTAGTTTGTTTGAGTAGACTGGCCGCAATATTTTTTAACGCAGATATTAATACATTTACAATAGGTTATTGAACCCTTAAGAGTTCAAAACTCTATTTTTATGACAAAATAAACAAAAATATTTCCCTAAGAAGCATTATTAAGAAGAAAGACATTATTTTATACTAAAATTAGAAAACTACATGCAAATAACTGAAATACTATTGTTATAATTAGAAAAATACCTAGTACTAAAGTAATAAACAATTCTACTATACTTACTTTAATGGCATATTTCTTTGTTACAACTTATATTATAACAATGTATTTTTCTAAACTTTTTGTAGTAAATGGAAACCTGTCAGAAGTGTACATCGTGATTATTATTTCAGAGCTTACCGGTTACATTTCTGAATGTATCTATTTTACTTGAAAATTAATCTTAAGTTTATTTGGTTGCATAAAAATAAGGAACATTTTAAGTAATAATTTACTCTCGTTTCGTTTAGGATATAAATACCTGATAAAATTATATAGACCCCGTATTACAAGAGGCTCATTCTGGATTAACAACCAGATAGATTCAAGAGACAGTGTAACTGCATCAACCAACAATAGGATGTACCGCATTCCACCTCATCTGGAACACAATATTATCATAGAATTTTATGAGGTACATCCTAAACGAAACAAGTATTAGTAGTATTAATCTGTCTTTAAATGGCAAACTGTGGATACAATGTGTATATTATGGTTATGTAACACATTTTTTTGCAACATCATAAAATAAATGCAATCGTTTTCAAAGAAAAGGTTCAAAATACTAACCACTATGCGTCAAACACATTTGTATCTTTCAGGTTTTCAAAATTGTTCTGCAACATTTTTTGGTGTAGTGGCAACAACGTGTAATTTCTTTCTGTAATTCTTCTAAATGTTTAGTTGCTTTTTAAACATTTTGTCTCTCAACCTTCTAAATACTGAAAAATCCAGCGGTGTTGTTAGATTAACGAGATGGAAATGCAGGCAGCAGTTCTAAAATTCTTACTCGATTGTTGTAAATTTTCTGTAGATAAACCAATGTTGCAAACGCTCGATGTGCAATACCTGCAACCTGTTGAAAATTGTTAGAGTAGATACTTTCTGATGCACACAATTCTATGACTTCGAAAAGTTCAAGCATTGTTGTACACAAGAATTGTAAAAAAGTCATGTCTAGTGAAATTGTGGAAATCAGTAAAATTGAATATAGATCGATTATTAAGTCCCTGAGTTTAAAGGGGTTAACGGGTAAAGAAGTTTACGATGAAATATCTAAAACAGTTGGTGAAATTTGTCCTTCTTACGCCACTGTAAAAAATTGGGTTGCTTCTTTCAAAAGGGAAAAAGTTTCGGTTGAAGACGGCAATAGACCAAGAAGACCTATTTCGGAATTCATTCCT